TTAATATTTGTTTTATATAGTTGGTATTGAGTGCATATATATTTATGATTGTTAGCTCTTCTGCTTGAAGTGTTTCTTTTTTTGAAGGTGTAGTGACTTTCTTTGCATCTCAATTATTCGTGGCTTAAAAATCTATTTTTTCTGCAAATAGAATAGGGCTTTTCCAGGTTCTTGTCATATAGAGTTTTATTTTCTTTTTTAATTTTTTAAATCTTTTATTTGTTTCTTTATTTGACACAAGGTCTTACTGTGCAGCTTGGACTCATAGTGACCTTCCTTCCTGTCTCAGTTTCTCCAGCATTAGAATTACAGGCATGCATCACCACACCTAGTTTCAGTGATAGGCATGATACACCCAGGGTTCTGAGGCCAGCATGGCATGCAGTACTGGAGATCGAGCTCAGGTCCTTCTGCTTGCTAGGCAGACACACAGACTGCCAAGCTATGTTCCCAGTGCTACAGTATTATTTTCTATCCTTTTACCTTCTGGGTATGAGTTCCCTTTTGAATTGAATTTGCTTCTTGTATGCAGTATATTGTTGGATCTTGCTTCTTGATTCATTGTACCAGTCTGTATTCTTTTGATTGGTGAATTGAAACCATTAACATTTATGGTTTCAATAACTGCTATGACAGATGTGTATCTATTCTTATCATATTATTTTTTTGTTGAAGGCTCCCCCTTTTCCCCATGTTTCATTGCTTACCTTTCCTGGTAAACTCATTTTGTTTGGTTTAATGGACTTGTCATCCTTGGTATGTCTTTCTAGAATGTCCTTCAGAACATGAATTTCATCAGATGTTCCTTGTCATAGAAGTATTTTATTTCTCCATCAATTTTGATAGTTTTGCAAGGTACATTATTCTGGGCTGAAGGTTGTTTTCTTTTAGAGCTTGAAATTCTTTACTCTAAGCTCTCCTTCACCTGAGAGTTTGTGTTGAAAAGTTTGCTGTAATTTTGATGGGATTTCCTTCATAGGTGATTTATTTCTTTAACAAATGTTAATATTCTGTTTTTGTGCTGAAGTTCTGGGATCTTGAGTATTATATATGTCGGTGAGGAATTTTTTTTGTTTGATCAGGGATAATTGGAGTTTTATGTACCTATAAAACATATAGGCATGCCCTCTGGATTTTATATGTCACCTGTGCCATCTCCTGCCTTTTCTTCAGCTCTAATCGATTTTATGTTATTCCTCTTGCATCATCTAGCAGCTGCTAGATTGATTTCTCATATTCCCTTGCTCTTTTCAAGAACTCTTCTTTTCTTGATCCCTAACTACAGTGATGTTTGCTCTAACTGACATTCTGTCTTCACAGTGGCTCATTCTGCTCTTCATACTTCAAAGAGAACTAAAACAAAAACATTTTTGGGGTCTTGCTATACAGCTCAGACTCATAGCGATCCTCTTGTCTCAGCCTCTCCAGGGCTGGGATTACAGGCATGTACCACCACGCCTGTTTTTGGTGGCCAGCAGGGCCAGCACGGCATGCAGTACCAGGTATCTCAGCTACTCTTCTCTCATTGCTGGGCAAAATACCAGACACCCAAAGTTAAGAAAGGAAAGGTTTGTTTAGCTGACAGTTAGTAGAGGTTTCAGTCCATGTTCTTCTGGCTCCAAGGCAGACTGGCATAAGACGGAGGGCAGCAGTTCATGGTGGCAGAAAACAGTGAAGAGCAGAGGGAGCAGATGTAACTGCAGCTTCTAGCAAGCCTCTTTCCCTCCCTCACATGCTCACTGCAAAGACTAGAATTCCTCCAAGGAAAGTGGTCTGCTCCATCCTTGCTCAGTCCCTTTTATATGTCCTTTTAAGTGCTGAGTCACTCTAGGGAGGGCCTTCTACACCCTAGGCTGAGCCCAAGGGGCCTCCTTGCCTGGGGAGGGGGTATAGAACTGTACAATGTCCATGCCCTCCTTTGCACAGAATGAGGATGTTTACAAAGAATGAACCCTGGCTGTCTGCTGAGTCACTTAGTTAAAATTCTAAACTGCTCAGATTGATACAGTCTATAAACCAGTATATGGGGATAAAACTCAGGTTCTTGCTCTTTGCCAGGCATGTGCTTAGACTGCCAAGCTATCTCCCATCGCCTTAATGGAACTTCTAATGTCCTGGGTATATTTGAATCTTGTTTCATCAATTTCATATCTTTCCTATGTTGGACATTCATGGTTTCCATGTTTTTTATAAGCTTATATTTTATCTGTACCTGCTCTGTAGTCACTAACCAATTCTTTTATTATGGTCACTGTCTCCATTACTTTTTTCTCATTACTAAGAAAAAATACCTGATGCCCAAAATTCAAGAAGGAAAGGTTTATTTAGCTCACAGTTTGTGAGTTTCAGTCCATACTCACCTGGCTCCGAGGCAGTGTGGAACATGGTAGAGGGCAGCCATTCATGGCAGCAGAAAACAGCAAAACAGTGAGAACAAAAAGGCAGGAGCCTCAGCAGAGAGCAAGCCTCTCTCCCTTCCTTATGTTGCATTCAGGCTGCCCTCCCCAGGTTGGGTGTAGCACTCATACCCAGCATTAATTCATTAATTAATCACAAATGCTAAAAGCCTTACCCATGACTGCTTAAGGCTTTGAGGGGACACAAACCGTAACAGTCACCATCTCTGTAGTTGAGAAATTATTGCTGATGTGATTTTTATAGAGGCTTATTCATCTGCTGAGTTACTTCCACCACTACCTCAGCAGAGTCTTGGCCTTCTCTGCCTCGCACACAGCAGTATTCCAGCATTCGAACACCAGATTCCAGAGAGGCTGCTCTCCTGCTGCTCACCATTCTACTGTCTTCTCAGAAGTAGTCAGACTTGACTTTCTAAGTGTGATGGTGCAATTACTTTTATGAATTTTTCTTCCTAGACCTTGGTTGATACATTGGTGTGTTTCAGAACTACTGTTCTTAGAATGTGTCACAAAGAACAAGTGATTTACCCCAAAACATATTCATTTTTCTTGAGTAGTATAAATTTCCTATCCCATACAAAGCAATAAATGTCCTGTTAAACTTAACTGAGAACAATTCTTTAGAAATAAGCTAATATCTGAAAATAGCATATTAGAGTATGTTGGTATTTCAGCGCCCAGAATGTTAAAGAATAAGTCAATCATGTTAGCATTTTAGGGAAATTTTTCCAAATGAGACATTTCTTTTGACAAATTATTTATGTTTTCTTTGTTTGCTATTACTTATACATAGTATAGTTTTAATTCTAGCTGTAAGGTGTGTGTTGGTGCGCGCACACACATGCGCATGCATATATTCGTGAATTGTAATGCAATGTGAATTTAAATTAATAAGACAAATAAATATCTGAAGTTATAATATTGAGAATATAAGCTTGTTGACACAGTCTGTCAACCAGTACATGGGTTTCAGTAAGTCTGTCATCAACTGGACAATTTTCATTTTATTCTTTTTACTTGAAAAACATATATGTTTTAGTCTTCATAGTTTCTCATTCTGTCATGAACCTTTCCTCTGTTACTCATTTATTCTACCAATACTTTTTGAGAACCTGTAGTTTGTAAAATAATCTGTGCTGAAATAGATGAGCACAGCTATCTCGGAATTCAAAGGACTGAAGGAGTTCTGAGATCATTTGTGGTAACTTTCCATGAATTCGATTAAGAAGTTAAAATGATCCAACCAAAATCTCAGTGTGGTGGAAAATAAATAGAGATCTCCTGGATAAAAAAGTGTAATTTAAATCTTTCTAAGAGACAGTGTCACATGTTTCCTTTTCTGTATTTGTTATGTTTCCTTCACTCAGCTGCTTACAGTGAAAATCCAACAAGTATTGGTTAAATCAATAAAACTATCTATTGGAATTTAGGGTATAGATATTAGGTACTTTAAATGATCAGAGGAAAGAAAACTTAGCCTTAATGTGGAAAGTTAAGAAAAAAATCTTTGTGGAAAGTCAGGAGTTTATACTAAGCCATAACTAATGGCAGTAATTTAATCAGACAGAAAGGATACCCAGGTTTCAAATGACGTATTCAGCTCACTTCCTAGTAGGACTTTAGATGCAGGCTCTTTGAGTTGGTTGTTTTCAGATTTCATCTCTGAGCATGATGTCTTGGAACAAGTATGTGCATGAAAAGACGTGGCAGTCATGCAGTTAAACTTGAAGAGAGAGAAGTTCAAACCTGTGCCCTGACTTGAAGTCTCCTGGTTTTTCTTCTATTGCAAGCTTCTAAGATTCCCCTCTGGCTCTGAGTTTGGGAATATGGTTATTTCTGAGTGTGCCTGGAATCTGATCCAGCTGCCTCGGAATCTACCTCTAATTCTTCATATTGAGCATATTATATTCAGGCTCCTTGGAGAAATGCTGGCAAATTGTGTCCAGGGACACAACTCTGTGTCCCTAGGCTTGATCCTCTGCCTGGGCCCTGTTGTCCTCCAGCTCATGGCAGGGCAGTGAACAGCCCATTTTCCTATGACTCAACAAAACATCCACAGAGAGAGGCCAGTGGGTGGGGGTCGTGACTGCCACAGGACTGGGCCAGCATCAGACTGGGTGCACTGAGTGAAGGCGAGAGGAATGTCCACCAGCAGCATTGCCAGCAAGTCCCACGAACACGGAGACTC